TTCCAGCCCTCCATTCAGGTGAACCCTGCTCACTCACTGGACAGCTACACACTGGGATGGTGAAATACTATCTTATGTTCTTAGAAAAGTTAGGAGACAGTCGTCACTGCAGATGTCCCCATGAGCTGGGATTGTGGCAGTGTTTTCCCCTTTTGCTTCCTTCTCCCAGGTTACTACATTCGATGTGTACTGTGTAACACCCATTAAAAACAGACCTTCAGTTAAAAACTGAGGAAAAGAAAGTGGGCCTTACCTTCATTGAACAAGAAGCACAGTGACAAGGAGTAACTAATTTAAAGAAAAGTACAGTGGGGTAGAAGCTGAGGAGCAGATAGGAGCAGTACGGACAGTCTACACTAAAGCGAACTTTAACTTCTGGAACAGATTTGGAATAGAGAATAAACTGGATAGAGAAAACACAGATCCTAAGGAAGAGCGGGCTGGATGAGGGGAAGAAGCTCTGCTGTTCACGGACAATAGGGTGACTGTGATTCTTGTTATACACATTATTGCACTGACTGGACCAGTGGTCTATATGGATCAAATTATCATAATGCACCCCATTAGTATATATGTTGTTATATGAAAGTTAATAATAGAGAAATAAACAAACAAAACCACATTTTTCTGACTAAAAAATATTAAAGTTTTGTGGCTATTTTTACTGTTTTGTTTTGTTTAAAGACAGGTTCTCACTATGTAGCTGAGTGGAATTTACTATGTAGACCAGGTAATTCCACAGAGATGCACTTACTTTTGCCTCCCAAGTGCTGGAATTAAAGGCATGTAAAGTTTTAAGTGGAAACTTGGGAGAAGAGGGGTATAGCCATAGAGCATTTCCCCAGCGTGTCCAAAATCCTGGCTTCAATCCTCAGGACTCCCAACTCCCACCCCCAAATAAAACTTGCCCACCTAAAAATGTAAAAGGGATCCTCTGCCATCCACAACAAAACCCAAATTATAAAAGAAAACAAAGGAACTCAGAATGGGACACACCTATTATTCAAACAGTTGGAACACACACGGAGACCCCGTCTTTCTAGAGAAAACAAAGCCCCTCACTTATTCTAGGAAAAATAAGTGAGTGGTACACACATTCTGGTTAAGTTGTAAGATTTCAAATAAACAGTACAGAGGCATAACAGAAAGAGGGACCGGGGGACTGGGAAACCATAGGGCAAGAAACGAAGGTGAGCAAAACTCCTGTAATCCAGCAATCCACAAGAAAAGCATCTGCAGTGTGGTAGTGCACTAGGAAGGGAGAGGCAGATGATATTTGAGGTCAGCCTGGTCTACCTAAAGATTTCCAGGATAGCCAGTCCTACACAGAGACTCTGACTCCCAAAGAAGTCCAGAGTGGATTGAGTAAATATTTGAAGGCAATGAAAAATCGTCCTAGTTTTGATAAAGAAGCAATGGTTTCTGCAATGTCCCTCACCAGAGCTTTCCTGACGACAGTGGCCTCTGCTCAATGCTACCCAATCTTTATCTTTAGGATTTCTTCTTCCTCTGTAATACATTCTGGGAGAAGCTGGGCGATGTATTTGGGAGCTAAAATTGTCTTTTTCTTCGATTCCGTGTGGCTAGCCTGGGCCTTGTATTTTGATGCTAATTCCGCTTTCCTGGGAGGGGCTGCATAGGAGTGAATCAGTACACAGGTGACTTCTGTGAACCTTCTGCCCACCTTAATTTGTAAAATAAAGGCTGGAGCCAGTGATTGGGCAGTAGAGGAGTTGGTGGAGAAATAAGGGTTTGAGGGAGGAGAAAGGAAGGGGGTGGGGGGGGAAGACTATGGAAGAGGAAGATGACGGAGGAAGAGGTAGAAGCACAATGGAGAAGCACATGGCCTGGGGGGGAAAAAAGAGATCTCATAGCTGGGGAATAGTGTAATGGTGAATCTGCCCAATCTAGGCGACCAGTTTATATTCATAATTATTGAGTTGTGTTTTTTTTTTTTTTTGACCAATCTTACTTGGGTTGGAGATTTACCACAATACCTTGAGACATAGAAAGAAAATAGTAACATGTACTCCATCAGTGATGTTCGAGTTCAGCCTATAGTGACTGTTATCCTTCAGGCCCCTGCACTCGGGTGTTCCTCATTCACTGGACAGGAAGCAGAGAGAAGTGGGATTCAGAAGAGGCCAGGACATGCTTCCACTGATTTGCTTCATCCAACGCAGTCCCACCACGCCCAACCAATAACATCACACTGTCAACCCACCAAGCTACTAATAATCCATTTATTACATCAGAGCCTCATCATCTGATTCTCTCTGGAAAAGCCATCAGACACACCAGATGTGTTCTGATAATCCTATAGATCTTATACATTCAGACTAATGGATACTTCTAAAAATGAAGAGCTAAGCAGGGCCTAGTCCTTGGAATTAAATAGGCTTGGTCATCTGCAAAGTGGAACATGTATATTCAACATCCTCTCAGAGGGAAAAAATTGTCAAACTACCCATTACAACTAATGCTAATAATAAAATAAAACTACTAAATTTTGGTGGTGCTGGGGATTGATCCTAAGACCATATGCACACTAGAAAGAGGCCCTACCACAGAGGTACATCCTCAACTCTTCATCAGCAGGGTGGTGGTCATGCCTTTAATCCCAGCACTTGGGAGGCAGAGGCAGGCGGATTTCTGAGTTCGAGGCCAGCCTGGGCTACACAGAGAAACCCTGTCTCGAAAAAACAAAACAAAACAAACAAACAAAAAAAGGGCAGAGTCTTTGTTATCCATAATCAGTAATGCTATTACTATTCACTAAAACTGATTTCTCAGAGCACATGTTTATGTCAACTATAATGCACACTCAGGAGTCCAAAGTTTTGAGATGACCACACTAATTACACAAGGAAATCTGGGCTCAAAGTTTTTGACTTACTACAGTGTTTAAACAACAAAGCAGGGTCCAGTGTGGTATTATTGCACACCTTGAATCTCAGTACTAGAAAGGCAGAGACAGGCAGATCAGTGAGTTCCAGGACAACTTGGACTATAAAATGAGACCTCATCTGGAGGGAGGGAGGGAGGGAGGGAGG